CCGTGAAAACCACCAGGATGAGCTATTATGGCTCTCAGTTGTGCCATTTTATTGCTATTCTGGGAATGGAGCAAAACACATTATTTTATTAAATAAAGATTTTCTCTGTATCACAGTGGAGGCTAATTTTATTAGCTCTTTTTATGGGAACAAACATCATCGCCCTGATTGGGGAGGACGGAGGTGGGGGCCGTGGGGAGGTGAGGGAGTGGAATCACATTTTGTCATCTGCGCGCTCCAGTGAGGCTGCCGACATGGTTTAATTGGTTACTCACTTTAATTACTTACTTACCAGAAGAGTTCCCCACATCCTGCAGAAAATACACAGCTTTCGTTCATAAGTAATTTACAGATGATTCGAAAGACATGTTCAGGGCCAGGCTCACGCCTGTAATCCCAGCACTTTGGGAGGCCGAGGCAGGCAGATCACGAGGTCAGGAGATGAAGACCAGCCTGGGCAACATGGTAAAACCCCCGTCTCTACTAAAAACACAAAAATTAGCTGGGCGTGGTGGCGGGTGCCTGTAGTCCCAGCCTCTCAGGAGGCTGAGGCAGGAGAATGGCGTGAACCCGGGAGGCGGAGCTTGCAGTGAGCGCCAGTGCACTCCAGCCTGGGCGACACAGCAAGACTCTGTCTCAAAGAAAAATAAAAAAAGACATGTTTGGTTACAATAAATATTTGTTCATTTTGTGTGGGTATGGGTGTGTCCCCTGATAACCAAAATCTATAGTCTCCAAAATGTGTAACTAAATGAATAGAATGTTCAAAATTTGTTCAAAAACGAAGTTTTAGTTTTCATCTATGAGATTCTGGAACGTCGAAGGCAGAACATGTACTGTCAGATTCAGAGAGGGAAGGGAGTCCAAATGTAGTTGAAAAACTCAGTAAAATACTGTTTCTACCTCTGATTCTTTAGCTTTGAAACCTGAGACTTTCACGTGCAGCTTTTTTGATGACCATAACCAGCAGAACCGGCCCCCACCCCCACCCCCAGGCTAAGGCAGAGCAGCCAAGGCAGGTGCGGCCAACTCCGGAGAGTCAGGCGGCAGTGCCGCCCTGTTCCGTGTGCGGGCCCGAGGTCTCCACAGCGCTCTCTGTTCTCTCTGGGCAGCAGTGCCGCCCTGTTCCGTGTGCGGGCCCGAGGTCTCCACAGCGTTCTCTGTTTTCTCTGGATGTGTTGCCCGGGGTCAGAGGTGATGTCTCTGCGGCCCTGCTGGTCAGCAGCTGAGCCTTCTGTGTGGTCTGCAGAGCTGCCACCGAGCCAGAGGTGGTCTCTGTGTTTCCTGGAGTCAAGGTGGTCTCCATGTTTGGTCGTTGCCATGCTGCTTTTCCTGCTAGCAACAGGCCACGGCTAACGCTGAAGCAGATGGTGAAGCTGGCCAGTGTTTCGTGTCCCCAGCCTCCCCTTCCGCCATCGTGCCTCTCTCCTTCCCGTTGTCATCTGTGCTCTGCTTTGGAGCCTTTCCCTGGCCCCCATGAGCACCCGTCTTGACCCTTGCTAGGATCCGGGTATCCCTCATTTACATCTCCACGCGATGTGAAACCGTAAGCTCCTCTGAGAGCGCTTAGAAGGTAAACCAGATCATAAAGCTGGAGCTCCTAGCCTCGGCATCGTTGTTTGCTTCCCTGACGTAGCTGCCCAGTTCCCTGTAGTATCACTGCCACGTCTCTGCCCTCGGTTTCTCTCTCCATCTTGTGAGCTGCCCAGTTCCCTGTAGTATCACTGCCACGTCTCTGCCCTCAGTTTCTCTCTCCATCTTGTGAGCTGCCCAGTTCCCTGTAGTGTCACTGCCACGTCTCTGCCCTCGGTTTCTCTCTCCGTCTTGTAGTGTCACTGCCACCTGCCCTCAGTTTCCTCTCTCATCTATGTGAGCTGGCCCAGTTCCCCTTTAGTGTCACCTGCCCAGTCTCTGCCCTCGGTTTCTCTTCCGTCTTGTAGTGTCACTGCCACGTCTCTGCCCTCGGTTTCTCTCTCCGTCTTGTGAGCTGCCTCCCCAGCTTGTCCTCTGTGTCCTTCCTGCTTTCTGTCTCCCTCCTTTTGTTACCTGTGTCTGCTTCCCTCAGCCTGTCGGCCTCTTCTGTAATGCACTCCCTTCGTCTTGTTTTCTTCCCTCATCTTTCTATCTGCTTCATTCATCTCCATCTTTATTTCCCTTATCTGCTCCCCAGCTCCTTTCTCTGCTTTTTTCCTTGTCTACTTCCCTGTCTTTTTATCTGTTTCCGCATCTCATTCTCTACAGCCCGAATTTTGTTATCTTCTTGCCTCCTGTAGCCCTTTGAGTTTGTGACCTGCTTTAAACCATCTCTACTTGAATACAAGGCTTTAGCAAAAACAGATGACAGGTGGAGACCAGGGCGAGGTAGACTCGTGTGTCACCCTCCTGGGGACAGACCTAAGTACCTTTGTAAGGGCTTGTCTAACACGCGTCCCTGTGACGCACTGGGGACTCCCAGTGTAGAACAGGGTTATGAGGAAGGAGGCATTGCTCTTAGGGGGCATCAGCAGTGGAGTAGTGATGCCCCCTACGGCCTCTGTACCCTTATATCCTACCTTCCTCTCACGAGGAAGAGGCCTGCTCACCTTGGGCCAGTTCCGGCTGTGACGCAGACTGAGGGAACAGAGGTCTCAGGACGTGGTTGATAGCTTCCCATTGGTGCCTCCTGAAGACAGAGCTCCTGGGAGAGTAATGATCGTGAAGCCCGTGGGCTTGAGCTGGCACAGAGGGACGGGAGCCCAGAAGCCACAGGTTGAAACCCAGTGACACTGGGCAGAGTGGATCAGAGTGAGGCTTTGGAGTCTGGACTGTGTTTAGAGTCCAGGCTTTAGCTCCAGTCTTGGCTCTATTGCCTGCCAGCTGCGTGACCTTGGGCTAGTCAGTCTCCCTCTCTGCACCCCACTTTCCTCGTGTATAAACGAGATAATAAAATCAAATAATAGTACCATCCTGAGGTTGTGGGTAGAGCAGTGAGACGGCATGTATAAAATACAGTGCCCGGCACGCAGCAAACACTGAGCGGTGAGTCTTTAGAAGGAGAAGATGTTTGGGTACAAGAATAAGGAATGTGGCTCTGGGGCCTTCCTCAGTCTCTCCGCCGTAGTCACATTCGAGTCAAAATTCATTTAGGCAAATGTGTGGATGTTTTGCTATTTTTTTTTCAGATTTTTAAAAATTGTTTTAATTTTAATTTTTTGTTGCTGTCGAGTCTGAGTCTCGTACTTTCGCGTGGGCTGGAGTGCAGGGGCGCAACCTCGGCTCCCTGTAACCTCCGCCTCCCAGGTTCAAGCCATTCTCCTGCTTCAGCCACCTAGTAGCTGGGATTACAGGCACCCGCCACCACACCTGGCTAATTGTTTATATTTTTAGTGTAGATAGGGTTTCACTATGTTGGCCAGGCTGGTCTCGAACTCCTGACCTTGTGATCCGCCCACCTCAGCCTCCCAAAGTTTTTTAGAATTTTTAAGAAAACACTTCTATTAACCTTAAGCCTTTCTTTCAAACCCAGATCCCCTTACACATTGATCAGACGTAGCAAGTTTGCTTCAAGTTTTTGGAACTGGTTTCCACTTTAGGCTACTGAAGGTCCCTTATCCCCAAAAGACTATCCCTTCATCTCCTCAGCCCCCCGTTTAAAGATTACACACCGCAGTCGGGTGGGTGCCAGATGAGGAAAGCGGAAGACGCAGATTCCCTCCTGCGCAGTCTCAGGGCCAGTGGGAAGCAGGGTCCCGCCAAACTGTCTGGGCCACCCCCCAACTTTGGCTTCAGGACTGCAGAAGCATCTCCTGCGTTAGGCTGCATCCAGGAGAGATGGACTAAGGGATTTCGTTTAGAAATAGGGGCAGGGGCTGGGTGTTGGGCTTGTCAGTGTGTAGGTGAGTGTTGACATACATCACCTCACACACCTGATGAAGGAAAGAGGCGACAGGCTCGGAACCTAAGCGGGCAGAGAGACACTTTGTCTCCCTTTCAGATAGGCCCGGGCTACTACGAGTCTACATTTCACTTGTCCAGTTTGAATTAGCAAGTAATGAAGTTACACAAGCAGAAGCTGCTGCTCGTGATTATAAGACCCTTAGAACTATCCCGCTGGACTTCAGAGGGCAACAAGCCTGGCCCCCCTCTCTCTCGGGTCTTCCTTCATCTCTGTCACAGGATATTGGCCTGCGCATGTTGAAATTGTGAAAAGCGTCGATTCCATGAGAAGTACCAGCTTGATAAACGTAAGTCTGCATGATTCCTCCCGAGTATCTGTGTGAAAAGTAAACTTGCGGCCGGGCGCAGTGGCTCACGCCTGTAACCCCAGCACCTTGGGAGGCTGAGGCAGGCGGATCCCCTGAGGTAGGGAGCTTGAGACCAGCCTGACCAATGTGGAGAAACTCTGACTCTACTAGGAATACAAAATTAGCCGGGCGTGGTGGCTCATGCCTGTAATCCCAGCTACTCTGAGGCAGCAGAATCGCTTGAACCTGGGTGGCTGAGGTTGTGGTGAGCCCAGATCGTGCCATTGCACTCCAGCCTGGGCAACAAGAGCGAAACTCCGTCTCAAAACAAAAATGTAAACTTGCTGTCTGTGAGGGGAATTGGGATCTGCTCCCATAAAATGGGAGGGGTGACCTGGGGGCTCTTCTTGCCCTTAAGGGCAAGCAATTGCCCGTCCTCTGGGTTCCTTCCACCCCTGCAGCCTGCTGGAACCTGCTGTGGCAGCAGCATCTCGCGCGGCCGCTGCGTGCTGGGTTGTTCCATCCACAGCAAGATGGGCCGTGCTGGTCAGGGCCCCACGGAAAAAGCACAAATAAATCAAACACCAGCTCCCACTTAAGATCTGATGAAATTCTCCATTTCCGCTCCAAACTGAATTCCTCCCGAAGGATGGGAGCAGCTCCTGGGAGTAATGAAGGCACTCCTTCCTCCTCTGCTAGAAACATGTTTTAGATTAACAGACGCAGCCTTCTAATCTGGGTGGGTAGGTAGCGTTCAGGAACAGCCTTGAGAAAGTGTTTTCAGACCAGACATGATATTTTTAATCTCGAGGGGCAAGGCGGCAGACGCGCAACACGCTTGGCCTCGGCGGCGGAGGCGGCCCCAGAGGTGGTCTCCTGGGGAAGGGTGACAACGTGGGAGTGTGGCTGCAAGCCACAAGCCACCCCTCCTGCCACCTCCTCTCCTCTACCATTTGGAGCCAAGAAGAATTTATGGTGGGGAATAGAAGCGAGAGGGCTTGTGCTTTTTGAGATTTGAAATATCACTTTCCTTCCCATCTCTTATTTGGGAAAAATAGTACGCTCTGTGATTTAAAAAAAAACATGAAAGAAACGTTTTTAGGATGAAGACGTCATTGAAGTGATTATCTTCCATTCTCTGTAATGGTGATGAATCGACAGTCTGGCATTTGTAGAGGCATTTGACACCGACTCTTTCAGGGGGAAAAAAAGAAACAATTTTCCAGTGAACCTTGTCAGGGGGAAGGCTGATCACCGGCAGGCCGCCTCGGACCCTGAGCACAGTTCCAAGAAGACAGGGATGAGGAGGAGCCGGGCCGGGTGCAGGGATGAGGAGGAGCCGGGCCGGGTGCAGGGATGAGGAGGAGCCGGGCCGGGTGCAGGGATGAGGAGAAGCCGGGCCGGGTGCAGGGATGAGGAGGAGCTGGGCTGGGCTGGTGAGTCGAGGCTGAGGTAGGAGTGCAGTGTTCTACAGGTCCATTCTGTTTCGAGGGTGGACATGAGATAGATTATCTGTTGAGAAAGAAATACTTAACATTATTCCTTGAAGTGAGCTAAAGAAAATTACTTTTCTTCACTCACCGTTGAAAAAAAAGCAGTCTAAAAAAAGATAAGAGGTTAAATCTACTTAACATGAGAAATTCAGACATTTAGGATCCGAGGGAGGGAAGGAAATTCTCCTTGAGAGAATATTCTGTTGGTCCTTTTATGTCAGAATTTTGTCAGCAGCCTCTAAGAAAGGTTATCAAAACCTCATCCACGTGTTTGGTTTCCGTTTAAAAAGAAGCCTTTTCCTTCACAGGGAAATAGCCCCAGAGTATCCAGTAAGTCAGACCCAACCTCAGAGGCCACACGGCCCGGGAGCCTTTCGAGTCAGGGTCCCGGCCGGAAAACTGCTTTTCAGGGAGAAGGTCATGTTTCCACAGAGAGTGCGGTCGTTTCTACGGTTAACGCCCTTCCTCCTGAGCCGGAGGATGTTCGGGACCTTCAGGCGTGGCCTCCCTCAGAGGGCGGTGGGAAGTGCATTTACCCCCGACTCCGAAGAAAGGACTGAAGATGGCAAAGGGGACGTTTAGGTGGAATTCTGGCAACGCTGGGGCCTGTCCCAAGGCCAGCAGGATGGACCGAGGCCAGGGTGGTGTCTCCAGAACACTGAAGGGTGGGGAGGGAAGTCTGGTGCAGACAGCAAGGACTGCTCAAGGGGAAAATGAAAGGGTGGGAGAAAGAAGTGCCACCCCCCACGCTGCTATTGTGCCTTCCTTCAGCCCTCGCAGCCTTTTGTGTTTGCAACAACGGGCCCTGGTGAGGCTTCCGCGCTGGCACAGAAGCGCGGGCAGGTCCCCGGACAGCGGAGGCTTTTTCTCCATGAAGTCTCAGAGCGATTTCGCAGTCGTCCGCTCCCAGAAGCTTCCTGGCCGGAGTCCGCCCTCCAGTCTCGGGAAGGACGTACACGTCTGTCTCTCTGGCCGCGGACCCTGCCCACGCAGGCTTGCCCTCCAGCCTGTTTATAAGGCCTGAAGTTACTTCTGTTTTGTTTTAGCCCAAAGGGTGAACTGCTGCCAGCAGTATGTCTGGAATGTTATTTACTTGGTACATTTCTGTGGCTTTTCTTTGTAGCATTGCACATGCCAGAGCCATTTACTTGAAAATGCCAGGTTGCACAGTTTGTCTTCTCGACGGGGTGACTTTCTCGGTTAGGGGAGTTTAGTTCCTGTGTCTCTCAGCTTCTTCCTTCCTTCCTTGTTTTTTTCCCCCGAATTAGTGCTCTGAGCACTACTGTTGGTGCCTGTTGCATCACACCCCTTTGTCCTGAGTGCCCCAACTCCACTTGTAATTTCTGGGGTTTCTGGTGTCCTCTTCAGAGCGCCTGGCAGACGCGTTTTCATTTGCCTGCCTGCCCTGTTATTACTTCACATGAAAGCTGTCTGTTTTGGCAGACGTGACTGTCATGATTGCAGCTGAGCTCTGAGCTGAATGGGGGATGTTGTGTAAGGGAGCTCGAGGTGGGCTCTTCTCCGGTGGTGGCCGTGGGAGTGGAAGAAAAACCTGCGAGCCGTCTTGGCTTGTGCCGAGCTGACATGATGGCAAACAAACGACTTTTGAAGGGAGGAACCGGTGTGTACAGTCTCCCAATTTGGAAGGTTTCGCAACTGTTTTTGTTCAACTGAAGGAGGAGAGAGTTTGTAAGGGCAAATTCTTCATAGGAAGGCTGTAAACAAGTCCTGGAAAAGGATAATTGCTGAAGGAGGAGGCATGGAAGGTATTTGACGGGCCTCTTTCGTCATCTATGCAGTTTTGATGGTGGTATTTTGGGTTTTAACACAAGGTATGGAAAATGAGATTAGCTAAATCTCCCTGTCTGGTGCCAGTCCTGGGGCCGTTTGCACACCTGGGTGGGATAACTCCCTGCTTTCTTTCTCTCTCTCAGCACACTTTTGTTCTGTCATGTGAGTCCATAAGCACTTGCAGATACGACGGAAAAGCTTGGCCTTACACAGGCTCGGCCTTTATTCGGGCCTCCTGGAACCCTCGGCCCTCCCAGCAGCTGCCGGTGTGTTCGCATCAGAGCCGGCCCCCGTGCAGAATGGAACGTTTTTGCTCCGTTCTTCTCGGCTTTTTCTGTCCTTCTGTGTGACTTCTCAATTTGTTTGTAAGCTGCTCAGATTTTTGGCTGAAGGGTCCTCTTTGATCTCTCTCCTGACGGCATAAGCTTCACACGGTCACACCTGCTCTTCTTTTACAGTCCAGGTTTCAGAGGAAATGCTTCCACTGCCTTGTAATCTTTTTTTTTTTTTGAGTGTAAAACTTTGGTGCAGATTACTTATTACAGGTAATAGCCGTTTGATGATGGAGAAAACTGCTTGGTAGAAACGGCCACCTGAACTGCAGCCAGAAACCTAAACTGCCGCTTTATTTATGTCTGAAAGCATCTAAGCCACAAGCCTATCAGTCATGATCTAGCATGCACATGATAATAACAGGCTCGCCAGGCTAGGAAAGCTGCCCCATGGGATGGCCGGGAGGACAGGCTCTAACAAGACTCTGTGCATCTTCTCCCCCATTCTCCACAGCCCACACATCATGTTCCTCTCTCAGAGCATCTTGACAGGAGGGAGCCATCTCTGTGGGACCCGCCTCTGCCATGAAATCGCCCACGCCTGGTTTGGCCTCGCCCTCGGGGCCCGCGACTGGACGGAGGAGTGGCTGAGCGAAGGCTTCGCCTCTCACTTGGAGGATGTGTTTTGGGCTGCAGCACAGCAGGTGGGTTAAGGTGACCCTAAGCCTCTCACTGCCCAGAGTCAAATTCCACTTCTGGTCATTTGCTCACCCAGCAGCTGTGGACTGAGGGCCTGCTGTGCACTAGGCACAGACGTCGTGGGGAGATGGCTGCATAAACAGGAGAGGGAAGCCCCTGCTCCCCACAGGATGTGAAATCTAGAGGTGGGGAGAGTAGACAAGTGGAGCAGCAGTGGGTCCAGTGTGGGAGGCCAGTCGTCTCTTTCTGTGAAGAGAAATCAGCCCCAGAGAGGGGCAGCGGGTCCTCTTTTAGAAGCAGTAAGCGAAGGCCGCTCTGATAAGGAGATATTTGAGCAGAGATGTGAAGAGAGGTCATGCTATGGCATACTCAAGCACTTGTTTGTGGTTGTGATTGTGGTGGCGTGTGTGTGCGTTGTGTGTGTGTGTGCAGTTTTAAATAAAGAGATTAAAACGTAAATCCAGAATCATCTCAGATGTCTGCTCACAAGTAATAAATGAAGAATGAAGCAGGGGTGGTATAGATTAGGGAATGGTGAGGACTGTGGCAGACTGACAGCTGCTACTCAGCTCTAACCAGTTGTCATGGTGAAGGGAGGAGGGCTCAATATAACCTACACTATTAGTTTTTTAAGGTAATTTATAATTCTGAACTTTTATGTGAAGTTTACTAATTTAAAAAATACCATGCAAGACAAACATACCCGAAGCCAAACCTGGTGCACACGCTCCCAGTTTGCAACCTCTACCTTAAAGCATTCTAGTGAGGATAATAAGCAGCTGAACTGCCTTGTGCTTACTTTCAAGTTCCTAATTTATTTATTTTATTTTATTTTATTTTATTTTATTTTATTTTGTTTTATTTTATTTATTTTTTTAGACAGAGTCTTGCTCTGTCGCCCAGGCTGGAGTGCAGTGGCACGATCTTGGCTCACTGCAACCTCCACCTCCTGCATTCAAGCGATTGTTCTGCCTCAGCCTCCTGAGTAGCTGGGATGACAGGCACATGCCACCACACCTGGCTAATTTTTGTATTTTTAGTAGAGGCAGAGTTTCACCATATTGGCCAGGATGGTCTCGAACTCCTGACCTCGTGATCCGCCCACCTCGGCCTCCCAAAGTGCTGGGATTACAGGCATGAGTCACCATGTTCAGCCTCAACTTCCTAATATGCGGGTCACTCTTTTTCCCCTGTCATCCTTGTCCCTTATACACTGTGCTATTTGGCATTTTCCAAAATTCCCAGGTTTGTGCATACCTGCATGATATTGTTCAAGATCCTTTGTCTGTTGAAATCTTATTTATTTTTCACTAACCAGCTGGAGGTCACCTTCTCTAGATAGCCCAGACTGATTACCTGACTCACAATTCAGCACTGCCCTCCTATACACTGTGGGTTCTCACGATACGTGGTACTTACCTTTTTTTTTTTTTTTTTTTTTTTTTGAGACGGAGTCTCGCTGTGCTCCCAGGCTGGAGTGCAGTGGCGTGATCTCGGCTCACTGCAAGCTCCGCCTCCCGGGTTCACGCCATTCTCCCGCCTCAGCCTCCCAAGTAGCTGAGACTACAGGCGCCCGCCACCACGCCCGGCTAGTTTTTTGTATTTTTAGTAGAGACGGGGTTTCACCATGTTAGCCAGGATAGTCTCGATCTCCTGACCTCGTGATCCACCCACCTCGGCCTCCCAAAGTGCTGGGATTACAGGCTTGAGCCACCGCGCCCGGCCGGTACTTACCTTTTTAAACTTACTGTTCTGTTTTCTTTTCCTTCTACTATGTCATTTCCTTATGCTCATACCTGGACTATGACTGCTTCAAATTGGAGCTGGGTCTTGCTTTTCTTACCCTGGCCATGGACCCAGCAGTGTTCTCATCAGTGTCCGCTGCCACATGGAGTCCTGTGAGGAGGGGCCACATGATAGACACAGAAAAGGCTCTGGGCTCTGAGTCAGAAAGACTGACTTCCGGTCCTGGCTCTGCTGTTCACCGGCTCTGTGAGTGTAGGTCGGTTAGGTAGCCTCCCCAAACCTCCGTTTCCCCATTTGTAAAATGGATGTTAGAATGCCGAAGCTTGCGGGGTGAATGGGATCAGGTGTGAATGAGCTTAGCACAGTGCCCGACACGTGGAGAGTGTGCAAGAAATACCTGTTCCCTTCCTCTTTGTGTTTCCCTCCGCCTTACACACAGGCACTCAGCAGGGGTTTAATGTGAATGTACCTCTATCACCATCTCTTCCCTGGAGTGCCTCCCTTCTGAGACGATCCGATCTGAGCTGGTCCTGGAGTTGTCATGCGTTCCGGGCGTCTGATCATGACACCTCCGGCTTTGATCTCCTGCATCCCCAGAGTGCTCCTCCTTAGCCTTCCCTCTGCCTAGACTTCTAGGAGGCCACTCCTTAGTCTGCTGGCTTGGTCCTGCCTCTTGACTGATAAGTTTGCAAAGAGAAGTAAACACCAAGTATCGTCAGAATTCCGAGGTAGGAGAGGACAGGCCTGGGCGGGCCCAGAAAGCCTTTGTGGCTTCTGTTGTGAGCCTAAAGGGACAGCAGGAGCTGAGCTTTCTCTGTTGCTCCTTTCCCTTAACGTGATAGGGGTCAGCCCCTCATCATCCTTGGAGGTACGTGCAGTAACTCTTCAAGATGCGAAAACATGAACACCCCTGAGGCAAAATGGCCGTTCTCGATTCCAGCACAAAGTTTGAAACGTTTCCAGAGCACGTCTGCCAGGCTGACCTCTCCCTTCAGTGGCGAGACTGAGTTGTTGCTGGCCCTGGCGAGGGCCTGCCTCAGACCGTCCAGGGAGTGGGGAGCACCCTGTGGGGCAGGGGTGGGTGTGCCACCTCCCGGGCTGCTCTTGGCCCGCAGGCCCCACCAGAGATCAGGGATGAGGACACAGGGTGACGGGGTCACCGGGGTCACCTCGCTGCCTGGGAGACTGTGCCCTGCAGCACTGAGCAGTAGGAAGCGTGGCGGGGCTGGGGGTGGGGTGCGGGGACGTGTGAAATCCCAGGGAGATGGAGACCACCATCCACTCAGAGAGGCATCCACAGGGATCTGTGAATTGAGTCAGTCGCAAGGTTGGATGGTGTAGCTTGTCATCAACCTGGAGAAAGTCTAAATGCCTTCACAGGCGTAGCAGTGTGCTTGGGCTGCCATAATAAATCCCAGAGACTGGGTGACTTAAGCAACAGACGTTTATTTCTCACGGTTCTGGAGGCTGGAGGTCCAAGGTGCCAACAGGGTTGGTTTTTGGTGAGGTCCCTCACTCTTCCTCGCTTGCAGACGGCCAGAAGCTGCTTTTTCTCTGCGTTCTCACACGGCCTTTCCTCTGTGCACGCAGAGAGAAAGAACACTCTGTTAGCTCTTCCTCTTCTTAGAAGAACACCAGCCCTGGAGTAATCCTCCAGGGCCCCACTCATGACTGACTTAACCTTAATGACCTCCTTGAAGGCCCTGTCTCCAAATACAGTCACACCGGGGTAAGGCCTTCAACACGTATATTTTGTGGAGACGCAGTTTAGTCCATAACAGCAGGCACGTGGGGTCTGAGGATCATCCGGCCTCGGCCAGCTTCCCTGCACCTCACCCCCTCCCAGAACAGTCGTCTGCTCTGGGTCTGACGTACGCCTTGCTGTTCTCTAAGCACATCACACCCTTGCCTGGCCCGACGTGCCTTGCAAGTGCTTTCCCTCTTCCTGAAATCCCTCCTCCCCGGCCGACTCCTGCCTCCCTGAGCACCAGCGCTGCCACCACCCCCTCCTCAGGAAGCCCTGGTGGGCAAGGGGGCATCTGGGTTCGCCCGTCACCCGCTCTCTGATGTGAGTTTTCCTGCCATCTCTCCCTCCCCTGGCTGCTCCCCGAGGCCCTGTCTATATTGTCCCCAGGGCCTGGCAGAGACTCAGTAAATATCTGTTGAAGGAATTATCAGGAACGTTTGATTTCCAGAAACACCTGTGGATAGACATCTTCCGTCCCCAGTGGGTGCTCTGCTGCCCGCCCTCCCTCACAGAGGTCCGGGCCGTGTGGCCCAGTGAGCACACCATGGGACGGCAGCGGGTTCTGGCTCAGTAGGGCAGTGTGATGGCCTCCCCTCCCCCAGAGTCAGTCCAGGCAGCACTTTTAGTTATGTGCACACAGAACCATCTGGGTTGCATTAGCAGGCCCCGCTGGAAACAGTCCTTAACAAAATTGAGGGCTGGGGAACATCGGAGGGGAACGGTGGGGCCTTCCCTCCTGTGCAGAAAGACAAAGTGGGAAAAGAGGACGGATCCAAGTGGAAACGGCTGCAAGGGAAGCCCACGCTGTCCAGACCAGGTGTGTGTTGGTGGGATGGGCGGGTTCCCGAACCAGGCAACCGCCGCCGAACAGCAGGCCCGGCTCCACTGCCAGCAGCACAAGCGAGCGTGCGCGGTTGGTTGGTGGTTTTAGGCACTAAGAGGCTCCGGTGGCCTTTAGGGTTCTGATGGAAGCACGGGGCAGGCTATGTTCTCCCCCATTGAAACCAAGCGAGCCATTTCCCCAGCACCACACCAGTGACGGTGTTTTGTGCATGTGTGTCTGTGTCTGTGTCTGAGCAGCTGGCCCCCCGCGAGGCCCGGGAGCAGCAGGAACTGAGGGCCTGCCTGCGCTGGCGTCGCCTCCAGGATGAGATGCAGAGCTCCCCCGCGGAGATGCAGGTGTTAAGGTAAAACTGCATTGTGATCTGCAGCCCTCTCGTTCCTTCTTTCCTTCACGATATCTCCCTGCCACTGATGGCATCTGCTGGTTTCCTTTTTAAATTGAGCCGGGCGGGCTTCTCGTCCCCCCAGATGGG